GTGTGTGTGTGTGTGTGTGTGTGTGTGTGTGTGTGTGTGTGTGTGTGTGTGTGTGTGTGTGTGTGTGATGTGCGGGGAGGTAGTGATGCCCTCTCTTTGCGGACGCTGCTGGGCAGCTCTTGTTGCCCACTCCAAAGCTGAGGGCAGACTCCCACGACAGACTTGACTGCGGCTGGCAGGAATTATCCGGATAATGAGGGAGGGCAAGCCCACCACCACCTGTGAAGTTGGGCTGTCGGTCTACCGGGGTCGAATTGCCCACTTCACAGCCTGCCTTCCGGCGGTCTCACTCCCCCAGCAGGTCCCCCTGCCCCGGGACTCCAGCGTGGCTGCGGGGACGGCGGGGATGCCTGGGTCTGTCTGGGGAGGAGGGAGTGTCCCTGCCAGATGCCACCGAGCAGAGATGCACAGGTTGGGGAGAAAGGGGTGGTGGCGATGGGGCACCCACAGGCAGATGCACTAAAATTCCCTAATCACTTCAAAGCCCCGCGTTTTAATTATTTGATCTGCCTCTTTGCTCTCATCCTAATTTGGCCATTGATGAAGATGCAGTCTGGTCAAATTTTGTAAGTGAAGTCAAATTATCACTTCTTAGGACTGATTATCAAATTATCACTCCCTGGGACTGATTATCAAATTATCACTTTCTGGGACTGAAAGGGACTTAATGGAGAATTCGGAAACCTGGCTAGGGAGGAGCAGAGTGCCTGCCTGCTCACAGTGCTGGGGTGTAGCCACGTGCTCTCACCTGCCCCCTAGAACTTTTGGGGCACATTGGTGTCCCTTTTTATGGTTGAGGAAGCTCTTGCTCAGAGAAGGGAAAGGATTCGTCTACTTTGCATTGGATTATATCAGTGACTGGATGAGGACAGGACTCAGGACAAGATCCCCAAATGGGAGCCTGCCTGCCTGGGTTTGACAGACTTTGACAGACGTCGCACACACTCCAGCTGTCACCATTGCTGGCTCTTGCTCCACACCATCTCAGAGAACAAGATGGGGCCTCCCCTCCCGGCCACCTCAGGTCTACTCCCTCATCCACAAACCCCAGGGCTTGATGACCTGACAACCCAGAATGCACGGGAGTGGGAAAGGGGGGGGGGACAATGGCCTGGATCTGATGTCCTGGTTGCAGGACATCTCAGGACCATATGCACCTTGGTGACAGGTTGATTGCACCTTTCTGCTGACACCACAGCCAACCCTGCCTCCCGAGTCTCCTGCCTGCCTGAGCCACCCTAGCTCTGCTTCATGGCTAAGGTGGCAACTGGAGATAGCTGGGGGCATCCTGTTTTGGGGTCAGAGCCTCAGAGTGCCTAAAAAGGGTGACATTGGTACTTGCACCTGATACATCCCCACCCCACAGCTCTGCCTCCCTCTTAGATGTGGAAGGCAATGGAGGCCCCAAGGCACAGGGAGGAGACAGGCTGCTGTGTCCGCCCATGTGCAGTTTGTGAGAATCCTGGAATCCTGGTGGGCACCCATGGCCCTGTCAGCTGGCAGCAGGCTTTCAAGAGCTTGGCCATTTGTGACGGGGTTCAGTGACTTGGGGCTGAGATGTGGGAGGGGGTTGTAGGGGAGAGGCTGGCTGAGCTGTTCCTACTTGGCTGGAGGGGGCAGGCTCCAACCCCTGGGGGAGTCACTGACTGGGAGGTTTAGTTTCCTCATCTGTAGGATAGAGTCGGGGTGTTTTGTGAAGCAAGGACACAGATGTCAGCGTCTGGCTAGTTGGAGGTGTTCAGGGCTGGTTGTCTCTGCTTCCTCCAGCCCCCAGTCTGACTGTCACACGTTGAAATGGAGGGAGATGGCCATGCAGCTCGGATCTCTCATGACACCCCCCAAGCTGAGGGAGTGGTGTGTTTTTGTATCAGGGTAGCTCACACGTTGAGCTTGGATTCCCAGGAAGTGAAGATGGAGGGCTTGGAACCCAGTCTCCACCAAGCCCTACCTTCGGGGGAGCTGGAGCTTCTACCACAGGCTTCTAGCCCTCATTGTCCTTCTGCGTCTGCCCCACACCGTCCCCTGGCTCATTCCCAGGTGGTCACTGGGCACCAGCCTGCTCTTTCATTTCATCCTAAGTTTGGCGTCAGCCTTTTTCCCTGGCAGAATTGGGGCCAGTACCTGTGATTTCAAGGGCACCAGAAAAACCCCAGCCCGCTGCCTGTTCCCCAACCCTAGCTGTCTGCTGCCTAATATTCCAGTTAGAGACTCATTCCATTGGCTCATAGCCTTGTCCCCAGTTGTGTCAGCTAGTGAACCTTACCATCCATGACTTGTTTAAAAGCTTTCAGGACCTGCGAGGGGACTAGGAGAGGGCAGAAGAGAGGGGAGGAAGGAGAAGGTGGGCAGAACAGGAGAGAGAAGGTGGCAGTTTCCCCACGTCAGAGTTTGTAGAGAAAGACCTACCTGTGAACCCAAGGGGGCCCCTGGAAGAAAGAAAGGCTTGGGGGGATGGGGCAGGCAGGGAAAGTGGTGAACCTCAAGTGGGAATTCCTGGTGGGAATGTAGGGTGGGTGGCCTGCGCAGGTGTTAGAAGCTCCCAGAGGTTTCCAGTGGCTTCCAGTCCCGTGTCTGAGGTGGGGCCTCAGCAGCCTGTTTCGGAGGTGATACAGGCCCAAAGCAAAATCACCCTTCTTTGACACTCTGCTACCCCTTCCCCTTAGAATGTGGCTGCGTGGTGTTTAGCGTAGTCCTTAGGTGGTGTTCTCTGCATTTCAGGGGCCTGCGCTCATCAGCTGACTGTTCAAAACTGTCAGTGGTTACTTGTTAGGTCAGCAAAAGGCCTGGACTGACCTGGGCCAGGGGAGGTTTCAACACCTGTGCCGCCCTGAACGTCCCCACAGCCCTCCTGTCACCATCTCTGGAAACGAGCAAAAACAGCATCATTCACTCAGACCTGTGAGTCCCCTGGGCTGTGAGAGGTGACCTGGGTACCCCAAAAGGCCTTGCAGGCGGTTCCTTGCCCAGTAGGGCACACGGTCCTGAGTTTTCAAGTCTGGGGGGCAAGTGTTGGAGGTTCTTGAGGGTGAGAGCTGACACTCCCTGTTAGGGGGCCGAGGGCAAGCTCTTTGGGGGGAGGGGCAGGCTAGCATCATGCGGGCCCTCAGGGGACCTGAAACGTGGTCCGGTCCTGCCTCCTGATGGCCCAGTGTGCAGCGCGTTCTGGGTGCTGCTGAGGGCAGAGCTCAGACCAGACGGAAGGAGTTACAGGTCACCAGTATGACCTGTTGGCCATGAACTCCCAAATGTAGACTATTCTTAACGGTTATTCTCAACCATATCCATTCTTAAATGATAATAATGATGGTGACGATAGCAGTTCTTCATTCTTCCATCACAGTCATTTACGAGCACCTACTGTAGACAGTGCTAGCTACTGTTCTAAGTAATAGGGATACAACTGGGGCCCTACTGGCATCAGAGGCCAGATTATTCTTTTTTGAAGGTGCTGTCCTGTGCATTGTAATAACCCCCTTTCCACTGTGACAACCAAATGTGTCTCCAGACGTTGCCAAGTGTCCCCTGGAGGGTAAAATCACCCACTGTTGAGAACCATTGGGAATACAGCTATGAACAAAACGGGCAAAATTCAATCCTGTTCCCTTAGGAGCAAGCATTCGAAAGAGGGAGATGAACAATAAATATGCTAAAGAAGGAAAACATACGGTGGGCTGCAGGGTAAAAATGCTGCAGAGAAAGACAAGGCAGGGTTGGAGGTTTAGAGAGTGTGAAGGGGTGGGGGGGGTGCCATTTTCAAAGGGGCCTCAGAAAAGGCCCCTCTGGCAGGCGACATTTGAGCAGAGGCCAGGAGGGGAGGAGATGTACAGACACCTGGGGAAGGACCTTCCAGCAGCCGGATGAAGTTAAGGAGCGAGCAGCGGGCAGGTGCAGCTGGGAGCGGGGCAGTCCGGCTGCAGTGGGCCCTGTCGTGTTAGGGCCGCTATAAAGACTTCAGCTTCCGCTCTAAGTGCAAAGGGGAGTGCCCACCCCCGAGTGGGTGCAAACACCTTCCCAGGAGTTTTTCACACATATTCACAGCAGTCCTATGAAGGGTTATTTCCTTACCTTGTGTTTCAAGGCCCGGAAAGGTCAAGCAGCTTGGGGAGTACAGTGGAGACATGCACGTGAGCTCTCCATGCTCTACACTGAAAGGGAGGCCTTGGGACCACACAGAAGTGTGCTCAGTCGCGTACCAGCTGTGTGTGGCCTTGGACGAGTCTCGGTGTTTGTAGGGAGCGGTGTCTTGTCCAGCCGTGCCATCTCTCATGCTGCCTGTGCCACCTGTAGTCCCCGCTCCCTCTCTATATACTCATGCCAGCAGAAAGCCAGAGAGGGCAGGCAGCCCCCTCCCATTCTCCCAGCCACAGGCTCTTGTTCTAGATCTCTATGTACATCTACTCGCTGAGCTGCAGCAGTGCCATCTGGTGAGTTCAAGGCCAGTATCTTGGGGGTCAAGGGAAGTTAAATGCTCCCTCTTCTTCTCCGTCTGGTTTTATCCTCTGCATCCCCCTTCCTGAGAGCTGAGGAGAAAGAACCATTCTCCCCGAGTCGCCATCTCCCTGGGCCTTTGGGGCCAGGCTCTGCCGATTCTTCCAAGGAGGCTGGCCTGGCTTCTCTTGGGAGCTAAGCTGAACCATAGCTACAGAACCGCTGTGTGATTGAGCACAGACTGGGACAGCCTCCACAGGTCTGTCCTCAGACTCTCTGACCTCTTAGCCCTTAAGACTCACAAGTTAGAGAGTCTTAATGAACCCACTGCCAGGTTCTCGCTTTTCAAGTGACACATGTCAGAAATAGGTTCCTAACTGGAAATGTGGGTTTAAAAATTATCCCCCGAGAGTTGAGAGTTGGGAAACACTCATGGCAACAGCAGGTGACCTCCCCGAGAGTGGCCACTGCTGAACCCCTTTATTCCCCCACATATGGGGATGTCTTGCCTGGGGATGGACTATAGTGATGGGAGACCCCAGGAAGGAAGCTTCTGGCGCTGTTGGGCACACGGGTGTGTCAGAGTGTGCTTGAGAGGGTGTCAGGCCCTCTCAGGAGGTGTGTGTATCTGCCCCCCAGTATGTGGTGTGTCTGTGTACATTTGCCCCATCTAATGGGGATGCCCAAGGCCCCCTGACTTTGCCAGGCAGGCCCCGTCCAGGAGAACACCCCCAAACCCCCACTGCTGGAATCTTCTATTCACCTGAAGATGATGCCCAACGGGCGGACGGCTCCTTCGGCACCTGCCAGAGAAGCATCCTGTGCAGCCGCCTCCCAGCTGCCCGGGGTGGGAGCGTCATGAGGAATCCTGGCCTAGGGGTGGGTGTCAGGAGGCTGTCACCGTGCGGCCTGAGGCAAGTCCCCACTCCTCTCGGGTCCCTCTTTCCCATCGGCTAAAGGGTGGGATGGGAGAGGATTCATTTCCCCCACACGTGTTCTAGAGCCCTACTGTGTGCCCAGGGTCAGGGGTACAAGCAGCCCTCCCTTCGGAGCTGTCGCCCTCCGAAGCCCTCGCAGCCCTAGAGCTCAATGAGGCTGAGACTCTGAGAGTAAATCTGGACCCGGGGCCCCAGTGAGCAGGAGCCGGTAAGGGGTGCAGAGGAATCACAGGCCAGAAGAGGGCAGCACTTCCCTGGTGTGCTTCAGGGGAGCCTCGACTCC